TTCCATCGGTCGTGGCTATACCACGGCAACTCTTTGTCACTTTTCTCTATAAAAAGTGGTGAGAAAAGACTTAAGAAAAGATGGGTTGATAGACGGCAAAGCTTTTTATTTCGTTTGGTTTATGGTTATGTGCTTGGCCGATATAGCCAAGGACTTTATTAACGGTAAGCCGAAAACGTTAGATTTTTAAGTTACAGTATATAATAAATTCTTTTTGAATAGTAAAGGAAATTTTTTTTCTTTTGCTGTCAGACTGCTTCGTTGAGATATAGAATTTGTTGGAGTATAGAAACTGGTACGTATAAGTTTTGATATTTTTAGCTTTTTAATCTCAATTAAAATATGAGACATATGTGACGCGTTTTTTTCGTTCGAGAATGAAATAAAATTGGAAGTTTTACATTTCAAACATAAGAAATTTATCTATATAGTATTCTTTTCTGAAAAAAGATTATCGTAGTTTTATCTTCCAGTTTCTGCTACTATTTTAAAAGGCACGAACGAATAAACAACGCCGATGTGATACGCATATGATAAAATTTTGTGGTCCATGCCATGTTCACGAGTGGATTTCAAAAAAATGTTTTCTGAGGGTGATCAATGCTGTGGACAACTAAATTCTATCACACCGGAGTTTTCCTCGAAAATATTGATGAATAGAAGATTCTGTCTCAATATAGTCAAATTGTTCCGATGTTACAGAACTATATCATAAGGAATGTACTCATCTGTCATCGAGCGACCTTAGAAGATCAAACTCAGTACAAATGGTCAATGGCAAACCGAACCCTAAAACCGTAGAGCTATTGAGAGATATTTTTCGGTATTTTCAAAGATGTTTATAAATATTTTTTATAGGGTGATCAGAGAAATAATGATAGAGGCGGTTTGTTTTAGATAAGATTAAAGTAGGTACAGAAATAATGTGTTTGAACGCGATTTTGTCAAAAATGGGAAAAAAGTTGTATTTCTCTGTAAGCGAAAAATAATAGAATACATGTAAAAGCAGTTGAACAAGTCGTTTTCTCCGTTTTTCTTGTCAACGTGTTTTAATCTGTTTTTTGCAATAATATACATTTCTTGTAGCCAAAACTGGAATTCAGTCAAATCTTAGATTTGCTTAGCCAAAACTAAGATTCCACTTTTGGCTAGTCAAAACTGAGATTCTAGTTTTGGCTAACTTTGGGACTTTCGTAGATTTGTTAAGTCACGGTAGTGGCCCACGAAATTATGATCAAACTGAGACATCTCCGACCTATACGCGACCTTTCTTAAATACTAGAGTTATACCCATACTACTAGAACTCAAGGGAAAACAAGAAAGTTACGACCTTAGGGCCTTCCGTAAATGGAATGCTGTTGAATTGAAGGGCTACCCAATGAGCTATAACATATTGTTTCAAAACTTTGCCTTCATAGATGGTAGTTAAAAATTATTATAGTTTCGTCCACAGATAGAGATCCCTAATCATTCATACATCATTCGATGCGCCTTGGAAAACGCTACAATATGTGCTAATAGGAAACTTAACGAAGTTTGGCAGCTGTGTTTGAATTGAAGTGAAGAATGCCAACGATTACACTGTTCATCTATCTCCTAGATGTTCCATGGCACCAGCTGACATTTCACTTTCGTCACAGCAATGCTCCTCTGACGACGACGATCTTGAATTTCTTTTCACATAACATTTTCAACCATTTTTCATTGTTATGTAGTTCTTCGAATGTATATGTGTCATTAGTGAATATTAATAAAACATTCGATGTTTGTGTAAAATCTGAGTAACGTACAAATGCTAAATTTAATTTCGAACTAAGCTTAACATGTTCATTTAGCATTTATTTCGCCCGTTCTTTGCTCACGCAACGATGTATTTGCTGAATGTTTTTTGTACGATGAATGAAAAAGCAGTGTATACAAGTTTTTGTGGCTTTTGCATTGAGTCACTACTATGAAAGTACGAATGTACCGTTGTAGATGACTGCACTTTGTCCATTTTCTCATTAGAGGTCGTTGTTGTGGCACTGAACGTTTTTCGTCGTCTTTCTTGTACTTGATATCCGTCATTAGCATTATCCTCGAGAGTTGAGGAAAAGGCAATTTTTGTGTGTCAGACGTTTGCAAAAAATACTCTTCACTTGTAACTGTCTTCGCACCCTGAACCACTACACCATTCGGCATTTCCTTTTCATCATCCGATGGTGAATCGATACCCAATTTGCCATTAATATCTGGTGGAACTGGTTCATTCAATGCCATATTGTTACTTTGAACAAAATTGGAGCTGAATAAATCAGTACAAAATTATAGTATTCTTCGAAAAGATGAGTTTTGTTAGTAGTTAATGCTATCACGTGGTACGTCTTATCAGTACAACTTCAGAAAAGTGATCTATGATTCTATGATTTCTGAATCGGTACTACCATCATATATCATGTACGCAGTGAGATCATGATATAAGCGATGGTACTATTCATTTGAAGTGCTAAAAGCTTTCATAGAGCATTAACTACTAACAAAACTCATCTTTTCGAAGAATACTGTAATTTTGTACTGATTTATAAAAACCAACATGAATTTTCAGGAAATGGTTGCACTAGTGCGTGTATAATTATCGTCTCTACCAACGTAGCTAATATTGAATTTGTTCAGTTAAAAATGGATGAGAAATGATGAAATTACGAAGGAAATTTCGTGCACTGACTCTTTTTATCCCACATAACTCTATGTCAGATCAATTAGAAAAGAAAACGAAGTTTCTGTATACACCTACGTAAAAATTATTATAAAGTGAAATGTTGGAAATTGTTAGGAAAATCAATTAACGTGTCGACGAATTGGGACTGAATCAAACGTTGTATAACAGTAGAATACAACAATAGTAGAGGAATAGAGGATAGTGGAACACAGGAATAGACACAGGATAGCGGACAGAATAGAGAAATACACGATAGCGGAACGGAGGAATAGAGGATCAAAGAATCAGAGAAGCTGCTCGAGATATAAACGAGTTATTCAACATACAAAGGATTGTAAGCGAATTACTAGTGGTATTTAAGTACAATGTACTATATTGATGCCTATATTGATTGTAGTTCAATCAATGTAATGATTAGCTCATTCCAACTTTTTCTAGGCATGAACTGCAGAAGAGGAGTCGAAGAGAGACAAGCATCACGTTGCAGCCGGTGTAGGAACTACTAGTATTTGATATCGACTTGCCTTTTCGTTTCGGTAGGTGAATAGGAGTTCGTGTGTATTATTGTATTGTTGCTGTTGTGGACGATTATTCTCTTCTTGTCTATCGAGTCAGCACATCAGAAAGAGTGAAATATGTTTCTATGTAACAGCCACTTTTTTGTCAAATGCATGTGCTTTACCATGTTTCACATCTATATTCAGGTAAGTGAAGAAAGCTTTGTCTTGTTCTCTTCTCCACATACCTGTTATTATTCACTCACTGTGTCAGCGACGAACAGGAAATGATCAGGGCTAATTTAGTTTTGTTATAACTAGCACCGTTGCAGGCATGCACTAGTTACAGTTAACTATAAAACTGTAACTGTCATAACTGTTAGACAAATATTCTAGAATGAGTTAGCCTTGTACGCTTTATGTACATTTTAAGAGTGAGAACGGTCCGAGAACGTATGCGAATTGTACAAGACTAACTCACTCTAGAATATTTGTCTAACAGTTATGAGCAGTTGCGGTTGTGACAATTACAATTTTACAAGTAATTGGTAAAAAGCTGTAACTAGCGCAAATCTAGATGCGGGATTATTATCGAAATATTTGAGTGCAAAGGAGATATTTCTCGAAGAAGAGTCATTTTGAGATCTTACTGCAAGTCAGATCACCATCCAAACTTTTGGAACATTCAATAAATTTTCGCAGCATCGATATAGAGGACGGGGGAACCGGAAGCATCAACATAGATTTATAATTTAGAAATTGATCGTCGGGAGAAACTGGGCAGGTTGATAAACCGACCAATAACTCCTAACTCCTCAATATGTATTGACAGAGTGCAAATGTTTTTGAAAGGAAAATCGTGCGTGATCCGTCCTCTGGGTGGGTGAAACCTGAGCACGAAGAAACTTCAGCACAGAAAGGTAAGCACGGGAAAACTGAGTATTAGGAAATGTGGACAGTAGGAAAATTGGGCATGAGGACAGCTGAATGGGAAGAAAGTTGAGCACTAGGAACCATGAGCACAAATTTATAATTTATCCATTAAATCTTTTGTATCATAAACAGCTAAAAAAATTTAAGAGAAAGTTAACTTAATCAATTTATTCAATACACTAGTATATAAAATATTAAATTTTTTATTACATAATTAACAAAGAAATCTTTATTTTATAAGCAAATATTATGTGCAATAGTATTTAGTTGTATAAGAATATCGTCATGTGGATGCAATAAAAGATTTAAAAGACGTCTTTCAAACCGTTTATTTGTTTTATTTTTGTGTTTTGGTGCTTCGCTACGATTTATATGAACAATATCAGCAGGTGTTGCATGTTCTTCAAGAATTAGTTTTTGTAAAGATGACCGAAGCGTGCGCATTCAAAATACACATCCTATACGACGACGTAATGCTTCTACAGAATTATTTGTACGCATCGACGATTGTGTTGTCCTTGTATACATATTCCAAAGTTCAATACTAAATGTTAGTTGACGTCGTGTATTGTTAGGGCGAAGTCGTCCTATATCGACAAACTAATTTTCCAAAACTTTTCTTTCACGTAAAGACAATGAGCGTTTAATCTTTTTAGTAGTAACTTTGCAATATCTTCTGTCCCAGTCCAGAAGAGTCAGAAATTTTGAAAACTAAAGAAAGATCAGATTAAAACTCCATTCCCTTTAAGGGCCCCCTTGTAGTGCGCACAGTTGTACCCCGAATTCAACTTTCACTACAAAGCAGCCCAGTTCTTGATCCTGACAACAACATATGATTATGAATTATTACTGTTATTATATAAAAAAAAGAAAACAAATCGTTTGTTGAACAATGCGGTAAGT